ATCTCTACTTAAAACAAAAAAATTAGCCGGGCATAGTGGCTTATGCCTGTAGTCCCAGCTACCTTGGGAGGCTGAACTGGGAGGATCACGTCAGGATCTTGGTTTACCGTGAACAATGATCATGCCACTGCACTTCAGCCTAGGAAACTGAGTCAGACTTTGTCTCAAAAGAAAAAAAAAAAGGAAAAGAAAAAGAAAAAATTACAATAAATGTATTATCTATGAACATACCACATTTTTTATAAAAATAACAGAGATAAATATTTTTCCCAAGCAAAAAGTACATAGCGAGTAAGTGACATTGTCCTGCATTTCTGTCTTTAAGGTCAGATTTAATAGGGAACAGCTGGATTCTCATATCTACTTCTCCGTTAAATCTGTGAGGTGTTTTGGTCAACGTCTGTGGAGATAATCTGTCTTTCTGGTTAATTCTGCACGAAAAACAATATAACCCCAAAAAACTGGCCTCTCACAGACATAGGGATGAAAAAGGGGAGGATGATTTAATAGTCTTTTGAGATGCCTTTTTTGCATATTGCTTTTTGGATCCCATACTAGAAACTGCTGGGCAGGCAGAAGTTGCCTGACGCTTAGTTGCAATGTGGAATCTGACACTGGCAACAAATACTGCCAGTTGTTTTCCTTAAAGTCACAGGCTCATTTCATTCATTTTTGAGAAAATCCTTGCCAAATGCCCTGTCTTAATAGCATAGTTTGTCAATCATCTTTTCAAGTAAAAATCGCGCTCAGTGACAAAAAGAGGCTGGTTTCAACTCGCAACTCAAAAATCCCTTAAGTGCTTTCCCTCCAGATAACTGTCACGAATCCAGTATGCAGCAGAAGCATTTATGTGTATTTTCCATTTTATTACAGAGCATAGTAAAAAGCCAGGTAGTCAATGGTGCAGAAGGTTAAAGATACCAATAATTCTTACTGCTTTATCATGATCTTCTTGTGAAACTTTTTCTTTAATGTAATTTTTTTTGTAATGTGTGGAGTTGGCTGTTACTGCCTTGATCCACGCTAAGGCACCAGCTGTTGTACCCACTATTGCTTTCGCCGTAAGCGTGTGAACGCAGTGAAAAGAGGCAAAAACTGCAAAAAAAAAAAAGAATGATTCTGAATGCACAACCAAAGAATAGCCATAAATACAGGTGAAATTAAATATTCCTTGAAACAGGAAAGCTAAATTAATTGTATCTGTTGACCTTCACTAGGTGGTGAAGCTAATAACCAAGTGACACCCTTGAACACCTCATCCAAGACCAGAGGATCAGAAGACGACATCACAGAATTTCAGTACATGCTAGTTGCTGAAATCATGGTGTCAGGTATGAATAACCAGTTTTCCAATAGAGCTTTGTTTCGACAATTTCCATTCTACCAGTGAGGAATTCTGAATTCTGTCTCTAACTTAATGTTGGCTACCTCTAATGAAGCCACACCTTGGAGTCAAGTTCTTTCTCTCTCCTGAATGGCATGCCTGAGAAAGATGGCCCTGTGTTAGAGCCACATGAACTGTACATGTTGAGTCTTTGGACTGAAAGTTCTTATAGGAAACTGTGGATTGGAAACAAAGATGAAAAACAGGACAGAATAAATTTGTGCATCCTCAGTCCTCATCCGTACCTAGTGGTTTTGGTACGTGGTCCATCTGGTTGTACTTCCATTCGTATGAGAAGTTGATAGTAGTAATTAATAAACAAATATAGGTTGATTGCTTCAACTGCTGCTGAAAGTCCATAAACAGCAAATAAGGAGAATTCTTCTCTTCTACTTTGCGTGTTTATTGTAAGATGCCAAATAATTTGTGTGGTATGTAACTACTTTAGGGAACCCAAATCTTTTATGGGAAGCCAGTGGTTTTCAAACTGGGCTGAGCTCAGCTCTAGAGTTTCTGCAAACCCCATCCCTGCACTGTCACTGCCCTTCAAACAGTGCAACTTACAAACATTTTGTTTATATTGCTGAGTAACATTTTATTTTAACACAACAAAACAAAAAGCTAAAAAAA